GCATTTCAATCACCACTAATGAACAATACATCTTGCTTGCTTGTTTGATCAATTTCAGATTGAAGAAGTTGGCAGAATTTTTCTATTTCATCCTCAGTGGCTTTAGTGGTTGGTGTTTAAATATGAATAATAGTGGTATTAACTGGGTTTCCCTGGGGGTGCGTGGATATTATCTTATCACTGTGTTGTATCTCATGACTAATCTGGATATGTTCTTTTTACAATAAATGCAACACCATTCCTCTTCAATTTGTCATTCCTGGAATACTAAGTCATGTGGTTTTCAGATTCAAAATGGCCACTACCAGTCCCTTACAGCTCAGTAATGCCTAAGATATCAATGTTTATGCATTCCATTTCATTTTTGACAATTTCCAATTTTTCTAGACTCATACTTCATACATTCCATGTTCCGATTATTAATGGATGTTTACAACTGCTTCTCTTCATTTTGAGTTGTGCCCCATTAGCAAATGAAGGTCCCACGGGCTATACTCCCACAGGCTTATCTCCATTCGCATCATCACGATCAACTCTACTTTAAGGAGGCAGCTCTTCCCCAGTGGTATTTTGAGTGGCTTCCAACCTGAGGGGTTCATTTTCTGGCACTATATCTGACAGTGTGTCTCTGCTATTCATAAGGTTTTCAGTGACTAAATATTTGGAAGTAGTCTGTCTTTGTCTGGAAGCTCATTTGAAACCTGTCCACCATGGGTGATCCTGCTGGGGTTCAAAATACCTGTGGCATAGCTTCTTGAATCACAGCAACTCACAAGCCACCACAAGACAACAAACTTGGTTAGGACATGGATAGCTCTAAATATTTTTAAGCCTACCAGTAAGGAGTCCTGGTGTGGTGCTGTCTGTTAATGCGCCAGACTGCAAAGCCATCTGAACTGGAAGCTCGGCGGTTCAAACTCACCAGCTGCTCCTCGGAAACCCTATACAGGGTTGCTATGGGTTGGAACCTACTAGACGGCACTTCACAACACAACAACATACACTGTAAGGCAGTTGATCTCCCCATTAGATGTCAGTAGCAATCCCACCCTCCAACTGTGACAGTCAAAAATATTTCAAGATATTTCCAACATTTTCCAACTAAAAATCAGTTTTCATAATGGCAAGTAACAAAATCACCAGCAAATGAAACAAATTAATAGTTAAAGCTGTTTTAGCTGCAAAACTGAAGTTCCAAATTCTAACATTATTCTTAATTTAGTTCTCGTTAGATCTTTTTCAGATCCTACCATGGAGTCCTATAGCGCTGTAGGCTAAATACTGTACTACTAACTGCAAAGTTGGCAGTTCAAACCCACCAGCTGCTTCTCAGCAACCCTCTACAGGGTCGCTATGAGCTGAACTGATTCAAGGTTACATAATAACATCATGTATCTCTGAACACTTTAAAAGAACTCCATCTTGAATCTCTTAATCCATTCTGAATCTGATAGATCGTATTTTTATTCTAATAAATTCTGTATATGTGAAGACTATTTCCTTTTATAGACCTTCTATTTTTTCTGCATCGATATATCCTTTATACATCCATGATACAATAATTCAATCAAAGTAAATCTACACAATTCTACATGTTATCTCAAGTTCAATATCAAGCCCAGATTTATTTTGAAAACGCTTTGCAATAGAAGAATATTTTGTAAAGCATCCTGTTTTACTTACTTTTCATTATCTCTAGTAACTGTGACAAGCAGGTTCTGTTCTCTTTCAGCATAAGACTCTCTGATAAATAACTGGTAAAGAAAGGAAGACAGGTTTAGAGATTAAAAAATCTACTGAAAACATGGTATTATAAATTACTTTCCTCTATGTTCATTTGAGTCTTGGTGTGGCACTGTAGGTTAAGCACTGGACTGTTAAACACAATGTTAAAGGTTCAAACCCACCAACTGTTCCTGGAAACCCAGTACAGGGTCAATTGGTTGAAACTGACTCGATAGCACTTGATAACAATAGGCTCATTTAATTAAGGGCAATTTAAAAGTTAATTGATTTTAAATTTATCACATACTACATTGAATATCACAAAACTACAATTTACAAATTTTAAGGTGTTAAGAATATAGAATTTACAACTTAGAACACAGGATGTTTTCTGTACAAAGTTACTTATTTAAATTCTATAAAATATAAAGTTTAAGAGATAAAATGAACATATAAATAATATTTGTTGTTAGGTGCTGTTGAGTTGATTCCAACTCATAAACATGCTATGCATAACAGAACAAAACACTACTTGGTTCTGTACAATTGTCCATATTAAGTGTTTGATATATATATATCCAATTAAGGACTCCTGGTTTGGTGCTGTAAGCGTTGGGCTGCGAACCACAAGGTCAGTGGTTCAAACCCACCAGCTTTTCCTCAGAAACCCTCTACAGGGTCACTATGAGTTGGAACTGACTCAACAGCACTTAACAACATTGATTTGTACATTGGGAGTGCAATGGTTCTGTAGGATAAGCAGTAGACTAGGAGCAATAGGGTCAGAGGTTTGAGCCCACCAGCCATTCTGCAGGAAAACAAGGAAACTTTCTGCTCCTGCAAAGATTTACAGCCTCATATATACACGGTTGCTATGAGTCAATACTGACTTGATGATACTTCACAACATTCAGTAAATACAACGTCAAACCTCATTTTACAGATGTAGAATCTCTTGTCACATGGATTACAAGTTAGGCCTTGTAACTTGCTCAATGTTATTATGCAGTTACGAAGTAGCAGATTTGGAAGTTGGCACCGGTAAGACTCTTCCTCTTAATAACAATTCCTATTAACCACAGTTGTTCTAGTCTTAGAGAATATCATTCCATGCTTTATAAATAAGTTATATCTTAATTTACATTGAGTCCAATTCAAAGATGTTAACATTTCCCATATATGTGATATAAAGCCCAATAATCTTTTCTTAGAACCACTGAAAGTAAGAAAATATAATTTCTATATTTAGACCTCAAATTACTTTGAGGTTTTATGTATTTGAACTTGTTTATAATTAACAAAAACACAAGTGAACATATTCTTTAGTCGTAAATAGTATTTAAAACATAAAAAAGTCTAAGTATGAGGGGGCATCAAAAAATTTGTGGAAAAATGGAATTAACAGATAATGTGTAATTTTTCCACCAATTAAAAAAAATATTATTCATCTTTTTTCTCAAGTGTTTATTGTAAACTGAGTAAAGGATTATAAACAAGTTAATCAGTTTTAAATTCACCAAATCATACTTTTTAAAGTATCCTCATACATGAACTTTTGTTGCTGTAGTTTCGTAGTGGTTATGAGTTGGGCTGCTAACCTCAAGGTCAGCAGTTTGAAACTACCAACTGTTCACCAGGAGAAAGATGAAGCTTTCTGCTCCCATAAAGATTTACAGTCTCAGAAACCCTATGTGGGGGGGTCCCTATAAGTCAAAACCGACTCCACACAACCACCACCATACTGCCGTTATTTCCCTTTGGCCTTGTATTCTACATCACAGGGTTTATTGCTTTTGTCCAGGTTGATTGACATTTCCTGGGTAAGCAACAAACTGATAGTCTGATACTTTTTGTCTGGCTCTGCAATTGATCTATTTTACACTTCTAGAGATTGGACTGCAAACCACAAGGTTGGCAATTCAAACCCACCAGCTGCTCCTTGGAAACCCTGTATAGGGTTACTATGAGTTGGAACCAACTTGATAGCACTTAACAACATCCAAATAAAGTAATTTCAAACCATGCAAATGAAGTAACTATGGTTCACCAAGACCACCATCCCTTGAAATTAACAAAGTTTGCTCATATATGCAACCAAACTCACAAAGGTTTCAGAAAGAAAGAGGCAGGAAGTATAAGAGGCAAGAAACAAGACAGAAGAAGCAGAGTAGGGAATCATGGAACCTCCTAAAAGAAAGCTGCGACAGGTCAAGGACTATCACATTGAAAACAACAAGAGGCCCAGGAGTCCTATAGGAGAGTTGGCAGTCAGAGAGGCCTGGAAGTGATCCTGCAGCAGAATCAATGATGACAGGAGAAACCTGCTGCTAGAACTGCAGCTAAGAGAGCTGAACAAAATTGCTAAGTGGCTATGAGCTGGGACAATTAGTAGTGGATAAGGTGATGGTAAGGAGGCTTCAGGCAGAGGTCTGCACAGTTGAGAAGGGGTGTGCACAACAGAGGCTGTCTTCATTGCATGGTTGAGAGAGCTGTCCTTCATTGAAGGGAGGGATGTACTCTCTAGGTGGGAGAAGCCATCCAGATTTTGTCTACATGTTTCTTGACCTTGATCCTGAATTATAATAGTCATTTGATCCTGATCTGTACCCAGTTACATCCTTTAAAAATCATATGTACTTTCTGTGAATTCTACGTGGCCGCAGCAATGAATTTTTGAACCCAAAAGAGAAGTAGTGCTGTAGGAAGGGTGGTTGCTGTCACACTGGTAAAATGACTGGAGAGTGGAGGTACATCTATCTGGTCTCCACCTCACGGGAATCAGCTTTGTGCTGATGGTGATACTCTCTACTCTGATTTTAGGCACTCTGGAACAATACAACAACTAATACATTCCTGATCATTTCTACTTCAAAATAACAAAATTTTTATCTTTTCTCCTTAATACTCTTCATATTTTTGGCAACTTTTATTTTTTCTTTTTATTCTTCCTTTCATTTTTTTAGCATAAAAGTGGTGCATTTAGTTCTAAGAGTTAGCTGACCAGATATGTTTATCTCTGTAAAGTGTTTCACACACTAGTAGGGGAAAAATAAAAAATAGAAATATTTCCTGGGAAAACTACAAAGAATTAATTCAGAACACAAGGGACCATAATTTCAATTTTGCCTATCTAGAATTATAGCTGGCATAGTAGGTTACTAATTACAAGGTTGGCAGTTCAAACCCACCAATTGCTCCATTGGAAGAAAATGAAGCTTTCTGCTCCTATAAAGATTTCTTATTGTTGTTACGTGCTGTGGAGTCGGTTCTGACTGATAGCAACCCTGTACAGCATTTCCGAGGCTGTAAGTCTTTATGGGAGCAGAAAGCCTCATGTTTCTCCTGCAAAACAGCTGGTAGTTTCGAGCTGCTGGCTGTGTGGTTCATAGGCCGATTCGTAACCACTACACTACCAGAGCTCCTTATTACAACCTTGAAAACCCTATAGAACAATTCTGTGTGTTAGAATCAACATGATGGCAGCATGTTTGGTTTTGGTTTGGTTTAAAATTAAAACTAAACTTATATATAAATTCTAATTTTGACCTTAAGAAGTTTCATCCCTCTCTATATAAGCAAAATTGTGCCATGTAAGAAAAATAGGACTGTATGACTTCATAAAATGTGTCAACAAATGAATCAAAGTTTTGTTTATTTGTACTGTGGAAGAAAAGAGGGTGTTCTCCTTTAGAGAATGGAAGTTGTACGCAAGTACTACAGACATCAGTTACTTGCATGGCTATCTTTCCTGACTAGGACAGGATTAGAATTTTGTTCATTCCTGCCAGAAGGTACTCAATAAATGTTACCTAATAAATAAGCGGAAGTATAAATCACCTTGAGATTAAATGTATGAATTTATATATGGCTTGTGAGCTGTTGATAGAAGCATATATAGCAAAAATTAAAAAGAAGCCCACAATCCCTTGTCTTGGATACACATGCTTTAGAATTTAGGATTGTTCTGTTTTAAAAAGATAACATGGTGTTGTTGTTATGTGCCGTGGAGTTGGTTCCGACTCATAGTGACCCTGCACAGGGTTTCCGAGGCTATAAATCTTTACGAAAGCAGAAAGCCTCATCTTTCTCCTGCGGAACAGCTGGTAGTTTCGAACTGCTGACCTTGTAGTTCGCAGGCCAATTTGTAACCATTACACTACGAAAGACTTAGTGATATGTGAGGTTACATCCTATAATCAAGATACTATTTCTGTAAGGAACATTAATATTCACACTAAACAGAATAAATCATACCTGCTCAACTTGGGCATCACCGTACAAGTCAATTTTGAAGTTATGGAGAGATTATAAACCTTAGAATAAGTTTTATCATTGTTTTCCTCTGCTATTTCTAGGAACGTAATCAAATCTAGCTAAAGGTCATAAAGAAAGAAATTAAATGAAGGATCAAAAATTATTTTGTTGTTAGTCTAATCTTGAGATGGCCGTGGTTGAATGCTGTCGAGTCAATTCCAACACATAGTGATCCTGTATAGGGTTTCCAAGGAGCGGCTAGTGAGCTTGAGTTAGTTCAGGTAACTAACTAATGTATATGACTAAATAGTTAAGGGTGTGGCTTTATTCAGGCAGTCATGCCAGATTAACCATTAACCATCAGTTAAGAACTTCCTAGAAACAACTATAATAGTACTATGGGTATGTTGTAAAATGCAATTGAGTCAGTTCTGGCTTATAGAGACCCTGCATAGGGTTTCTAGGGAGCGGCTGGTGGGTTTGAACTGCTCACTTTGTGGTTAGTTGTTCAGTGTTTATCCTATAGCGCCACACCAGGACTCCAATATGGGTATTGTTGTTATTAAGTGCCATTGAGTTGATTCCGGCTCATAGCAACCCTGCATAGGGTTTCCGAGGAGTGGCTTGTGAGCTGGAACTGCCGAACCTTTGGTTCAAACCAACCTTGCAGTCCAATGTATTAACACGCTGTGCCACACCAGGACTACAATATGGGCATAATAAGATTTCATTAATCTGGGTACAAGACACTGTTATAAGAATCAAGTAAAAATAATTCATGTACAGTGCTCATCAAAGAGCCTGGTTCTTAATGTGCATTTACATATTAGCTATTACTCTTATGGAGTTCTGGTGTGGTGCTATAGGATAAGTTGTTGTTGTTAAGTATTGCTGAGTTGGTTCCGACCCATAGCGGCCCTGTATAGGGTTTCTGAGGAGTGAATGGTGAGCTTGAACCACTGACCATGCAGTTCAAACCGATCTTGCAGTCCACAGTCCAGTGTATCAACCCACAGTGCCATACCAGGACTCTATAAGATAAATACTGGACTAATAATAAGGTGGGCAGTTCAATCCCACCAGCCGCTACTTGGCAATACTATACAGGGTCATTATGAGTCAGAACTGACTCAATGTCACTTTACAACAACATCAACAATGACTATTTATGAGTCAATTAGTTTATGTGGATATTCCCTATAGCATTATTCATTCAACAAATCTTTACTGTATTCCCATGTGTCACATACTAGGAACTACAGTAGTGAAATAACAATAAAACAAAACAGACTATTTGCTGCACTCAAGTTTCTTACAGTTCAAAAAACTTCTAATTGTCATATACTGATAGTTACATCAGTCTTTTGGAAGAACACCTGTTTTATTTTAGTCATAAATATATCCTCTTAGCTCAACGAGATTTTACTCAATTTTTAAAGTTGTCCTTAAAAGGCACTTTTATTTATTCCCTCCGCTGCTCTCACTAGCCAGCCACAAGGACTACAGTTGCAAATGTACCTTTTAGTTAAAAATGCAGAGTCCATGGAGAAGGAAATTGAGAGAATGAACTCTGATCTAACCAAACCGAACCAAATCCAGTGCTGTCAAGTTGATCCCAACTCACAGTGATCCTATAGAACAGAGTAGAACTGCCCAACAGGGTTTCCAGGGTTATAAATCTTTACAGATGCAGATTGCCTTTGAGTTGTGGTGTTGGAGGAGAATACTGAAAGTGCCATGGACTGCCAAAAGAACCAATAGATCTGTTTTGGAAGAAGTGCAGCCAGAGTGCTCCTTGGAGGCCAGGATGGCTAAGCTTCGTCTCTCATACTTGGGACATATTGTCAGGAGGGAACAGTCGCTGGAGAAGGATGTCATGCTGTGTAAGATGGAAGGTCAGAGAAAATGAGGAAGACCCCCAACGAGATGGATTGACCAGGTGGCATCATTGATGGACTCAAGTGTGGCAGCGGTAGTGAGGTTGGCCCAGGATCGGACATTGTTTCTTTCTGCTGTGCATGGGGTTGCTATGAGTTGGTTCCGACTCGATGACACTTGACAACAACAACTTTCTCCTTCGGAACAGCTGATGTGTTTGAACTACCAACTTTTCGGTTAGCAGTTGACCTACTGCATCACCAGGGCTCCTTGATTATAATTAATCACAAATTAATACCTTTCCATAGTAATTCCAGCCCTTGAAGCACTAGATAAAATGGCAGTCAGAGCAATTTGGGAAGGTGTATATAAAAGATACGCATCTGTCAATGCCACTCTATTAAGAAAGTCATCAGCTGTTTTCCTCAAAATCTCTGGGTTCTCCAACATGGGATAACGAGTCTAGAAAGAAAGTGACAAATGTTATATTTCTGAGGGTTTAATGAAGTAACAACATTCCAATATAATTAATTTTAACTAGAAAGTGCTGAACACACCATCTTTTCTAACAACAACTCTGTTTTCTTTATCTTAGCAATAAGAAATAATTTTGCATGTAAGATTTCTTTTTCTAACTAATTATTAGAATATGACACAAGTGCTTCCTCTAACTTATGAATGTTTTAGCAGTCTGCCTTCTCTGGTGCCATCCTTTAACTCAGAGTCTTTCAAACTTCTATGAGCATAACTTACAGTAAGACACACAAGTTTTAAGATAATGTATCCAAAATTCCCAGCAACAATCCCTCCTCTTTGCCCTTTTCTTCACTTAAGAAGGAAAGGGAAGGAAGGTTCCTGGAGGTTTTATTGGGTCTGAAGTAGACCAGAAAAACATGTATTTCCAGGCAATTCAGGTGATAAAGCTGTAAGGTCACACATTAGGAACCACAGCACCACCTCAATTAGATGTGAAATTCCTTATGCCTTTGGGAGGAAGAAAACATGAAATGAATCTACTAAACCCAAACCAAACAAACCTATTAGCATCCAGTTGGTTCTGACTCATAGCAATCCTATAGGACACAGTAGAACTGCCCCACAGGGTTTCCAAGGCTGGGGAATTCTTCGGTAAGTTGACTGCCACTTTTTTTCCCTAGAATGGCTAGTAGATTCAGACTGCCAATCTTTCAGTTAGCAGCTGAACACTTTAACCACTGTGCCTCCGGGGCTGCTTTATCTCCCAAATACCTAGAGAATTACTCTAGAATAGGTCAATGTAATACAGACAAACCAATAGTTACAGTATTGTCAATCTTGACAGTTCCTCATATCTTTTAAGATGAACCCTAAGTCCTAAGCCATAAGACCTAAGATTTATTTCATTTTCCACATTTAAGACCTGAAGCAGTATGATATTTTTTCATCACTCTTAAGCAACACATCCACAATCAATTGTGCAGCCATATCCAGATTTTGCCATCACCCAAAATGGCTGGCCTCTGACATGACCATTTTCAGACTCTCCACTCTGACCCAAAATGCTCATTTTCCCAACATTTTTGCTCAATTACTCTACAACTGCTTTTTGACTCGTTTCCTCAAGACCTCTTAGTCCTTTATCCCTCATTTGCTCTTATTCACTGTGTCCTCTGATTCTCATTTCCCTCTAAACTCCCTTGCCAACACATTTCTAGAGAAACTTCAAATGAAGTTGACTCTCAACAATTTTCTGCTTTGGATCTACACCCGGATTTATTTACTACTAGAAAAACAATGTAATTAAAAGGTCTGCTACTATTACTAAGTTACTATTACTAAGCCTGCCCTCACCAGGGTCCTCAACACTGCCCAGAAATAATTCACATTTTAATAGTAAATTTGTTTTCCCATTTTTCAGAGTCCATGTCAAACATATTCCCTATCAATGTCTCTGACAATTCCCAGAACCTCTACCACTCTCAGAAAATTATCTCTGCTCTTACTTAACAATGAAAGGTAATCTATTTCCTGATACCTCCAAATCCCCAGACCTGCAGTTTGGTCACCCATGATTTGCTCTTTCTCTCCTGTAAAGCAAAAAGAACTGCCATTCCTTCTGAAGCCAATACTTGTACCTGTTCTTTAAATCCCATGCCAATCCTTTCTACCTCACTCCAGAGAAAAGCTTGAGTGATATAGTTCTAGTTTTTTTCCCTTTATCTTTAAGCTTTATTAATTAATTTGCATCAGCATTTAAATATGCACCAGTCTCTTTCCACCACAAAAATCACAACAAAGAATTCTCACTTAGCTCTAGTAGTTCTCACATCTTCTCAATCATCTCATCATCTTTCTCCACTTCAAAGACAAGTGTTTTCATCTAAGTTACATACATTTGTTTTCTCATCTCTCATTTATTTCCTGAACAGTTCCAATCTGTTTTTTTCCTCCACATTCTACAGACACTGATTTATCCACACTCACAAATCATGCTTCTGGCACTAAATCCAGCAAATACATTTACTTCACTTGCCCAAATTCTTTGCAAGACTGGAGAGTTGCCTGTGCTCACCTTCTAAACCCTTCTACTTAATTTGCTTCTTCAACAAATCCTATCTCTTTTTATGTTCTTCATTCTCCTCACCAGCTTCTTGGATTTCTTGATCTTTTCCTATTTCTCATGTTCAATCCAATCTGCAAATTCTATGACAACCAAATCTGTACCTCCAGCACAGTCATCTTCTCTGATCTTCAGGAACAAATGACAACCCATTTGAGGCCCTGGCACACAATACAAAATCATCATGTCCCAAACCAAATTCATCAACTCACCACAAAAAACACACTTCACCTTAGTTCTCCTGTTATCAGTAAATGTACCAACAATTCCATTTGCTCAGGCCAGAAGACTGGGGCACCTCCTCTGCTCCTATCTATATACAATCAATCCTGTAGTTCAACAGACTCTGCCTACTAAAAGTCTCAAGTATTTCTGAAGTCTACAAAACTCTCTGTACACACAGCTACTGCACATGGCAAACCAACTACCATCTCTTGCCTACTGTTGTTGTTAGGTGCCATTGAGTCAGTACTGACTCATAGCGACCCTATGCACAACAAAACAAAACACTGCCCAATCCTGGCCAACCTCACAATTGTTGCCATGCTTGAGCCCACTGATGCTACCACTTTGCCAATCTATTCCTCTTTTTCTCTGACCCTCCACCTTACCAAACATGATAATCCTTCTCTAGTGACTGGTCCCTTCTGACAATATGTCTGAAGTATGAGAGACAAAGTTTGGCTGTCCTGGCCTCCAAGGAGCACTCTGGCTGCACTTCTTCCAACACAGATCTGTTTGTTCTTTTGGCAGCCCATGGCACTTTCAGTATTCTCCTCCAACACCATAACTCAAAAGCATCAATTCTTCTTGCCTAGATAATTCTAATAGTACACTAACTGGTCTCCCTTTAACCATCTAATCCGTTCTCCACATTAAAAATTAGCACACACAGATGCACACTGATACATACCGATACATAAGCATGACAGTTGAATTTTTTAAGGCTACAAATTCAATCATGCCACTCTCCAGATTATATCTGGTTTAAGACCTTTCACTGGCTTCCCTTTGCCCTAATCAAAATCCGTAACATTGTTGCCAGACTCTGGACTCTCCTTACTCTCAAGGCAGCACTACACAGCACTCTCCTTTCAAGATCTATTTACATGGCTCACAGACTCAAATCTAGGCATATGACCAGGAAAAGTACTTGCTCAAATATTCTTTTGTCCACCTAAGTCCTACTCTTGCTTTGAATTTCACTTTAAATAACACTTCTCAAGAAGATCTTCCCTTTCCCTCAACCTATGTTCTTGCTAAATGCTTATATTATCATTTCTCTACCCCGCTGTAGAACTTACAGCACTCAGTACATGATGACTGTCTTCTCCATCAGACTGAAAGGTCCAACTATCTGGTTGTTCCTGGCTACAACCTTAAGTACAACATTTGGTTAATAGAAGGCATGCCAATTGAACTGTACTAACTTAACCAGTTTCTGACTTCTGTGTGACTTTGGTTCTCATTAGCATCCCTGAAAGGAACCCTGGTGGCACTACAGAATAAGCACTGATCCGCTAACCGCAAGGTCAACAGTTCTTCCCACCAACTGCTTCACGAGAGAGAGATGAGGCTGTCTGCTCTCATAAAGATTTACAGCCTAGGAAACCTACATAGGGTCTGAGTCAGAACTGATCAGACGGCAGTGGGATGGTCCCTGTAAGAGGATTTGCCAATCAACTCAATTAAAAACTCTAGAAGTGCTGCCCAACAATCTGTTAACAATCCCTCTAGGAGATTATGATGCACATCAAAGACTGAAAAGAATTGCCCTAGAAGTCCAGACTATACTCACATTTTAACCTAGGCATGTTGCAACTGAGACAATTATAAGCTGTTAAATTTTTATTCTTCTGGTTAAAGAACAACAACAAAGGAGTACATTCCATTAGCTATGTCAAAAAGTTTACCTTTAAATCAATAAGGAAGCCTTCAAATGGTCTATATGGATTGTGGACAATAAGGTGGAAATTTAGTTGCTGTATAAGAAGTAGTTCATATTCCAAAATCTGTTCCAGTGCCTTCTCCTGTCCATGAGGACTCTCCCGAAGATTTCCAACAAATTGTGGACTAGATACATTGAATTCATCTACTTTGCAGGCTAGAAATGCACAAGTGAGTCTAGAGGTAAAAATCAGGGTGGGTAGAGGGACGTGAATATACAATGAAAAACATTTTATTTCACAGGTACTTTCTAACATTGTCTGATGTTAACAAATGGCAGTGGTACAAACTGCAGGGTAGGGCAAAAAAGACAGTTCCTGTTCAAATGTTTTATCTATTAGGAGACATGAGACAAACTATAAAATTAGGCAGAACCATACAGTATTGCCAATATTCAATCAGTATTGCTTAATAGCATTTTATATAGCTTAACTGGACTGCAGAGTCGGTTTGAACCTCAAGATCGGTGGTTCAAGCTAACCAGCCATTCCTAGGAAACTCTATACAGGGTCGCTATGGGTTGGAACCGACTTAGCGGCACTTAACAACAACAACCTAAATAACTGGAAAAACAAAATAACTGCACAGTACAAGTACTTTGTATCATGAAACGTAGATAGAATTAAAAAAAATACACACAACAGATCACACACGTATCATATGAGTGTGGGAAGATAAAGTCAGAAAAGAAACACTGAGGAAGGTTATCAGTGGAAATCTTCAATGAGGGAGGGAATGAACAAACCCACAAAACTCACCTGGCCAGTACATGAAATTCATAGCAAGAAACTAGTAATAAAACTACTGCAAAAATCAAAATTGGAAGTGACAAGGCCTGACATAGATTGGTGGAAACAAGAATTAAAAAGAAAGAAATGAACATGAAGAATGAACATGAAGATTGACAACAAGCTCTTAGATGAGTCTTAGGATTTGTATTGTCAATGATAATCAAAAAGGAGAACACAATAGATCTTCATAGATTTAAGTGAATAAATGGCTGTATTGAGTTAAGGGCCACTGAGTCAATTACAAATCATAGAGACCCTGTGTAAGGCTTCCAACGAGCAGCTGATGGGTTTGAACCGCCAACCTATGGTAAGCTGTCCGGTGTTTACCTAATAGCACCACACCAGGACTCCTACCTTAAAATACAAAGTATTTACCAAGTAAATACAAAATGCAAGTTTAAATTACTATTTCTTAGAAAGTCAGTATATTTCTATACACAGAGACACACCTGCTCAAATAGTATAAAAGTTTTCTTAACTGAAAATCATAAATTAGACAGACTTATACTCACAGTATTATCCGGGGGTGATATTCCATCACTGAGTTATTAAGATAGAATCGCTTGAAATACATACAGGCTGTACCCTAGGATTAAAAAAAATATATAGATGTATACGTTGTTGTTGTTGTTAAGTGTCATCGAGTTGGTTCTGACTCATAGTGATCCTATATAGTGTTTCTGAGGAGTGGCTGGTGAGTTTGAACCAATGACTGTGTGGTTCAAACCAACCTTGCGGTCCTGTGCTTTATCCTACGGAGCCACACCATGACTCTATAGACTGATACAGAAAAAGATATATAAATAATCGTAATCTATTCGCATGTATAACATGCTAAATTTTTTGAAAAATTATTTATGCAAAGGATTCTTTGTACAGGTTCTCCATACAAGTACAAATACTTAATCTTTAATCAAAATCAATTCTGATAAATACTACAGAATGTTCATACAACCAGAAGGCAGAAGATTCTTTCCTACTCTTTGGTTGTCCTTCCCCAGTCTACCTGCATACTCATCCTGTGATCACTGGCTTACTAAAGTGGAAAAAAATACAGAATAAAAATAAAAACATACATGTTTACAGCTTAACAAATTAGTTTTATAAAAATTTGATAGAATTATATGATTGAGGTAATTAAACATTTCTCTAATTCAATCCAGACTTACAATATAACCATGATTGTTATGCCCAGAATTCAGGGTCCCCAAAGACCACCAAGGAGCCGACACCTATGCAAGTGCACAGGATTGTTTATTCAAGCTCCAGATCGGGCTCCACCTGCATCCGACGCAGCGGATGAGGGATGGAGCCTCGAACTCTCAGTTATTCATGCTCGGGCTCAAACTCCACCTGCATCCGATGCAGCGGATCAGGTGTTGAGCCTTGAACCCTCAGTTTACATTATTCATGCTCAAACTCTGACTCCACCTGCATCCGAGGATGAGGGATGGAGCCTCGAACTCTCAGTTTCTCAAGCCCAAGCTCGGACTCCACCTGCATCCGACGCAGCAGATGAGGGATGGAGCCTTGAACCCTTTGTCTGCAGGGTTTTTATAGAGTTTTCAAACAAGCGTAGGGATTTTCAGCTTTACAATATTTGGATTGGTTGACATTTGGCAAAGTATGAGATGTTACAGTTTAATTGGTCAGGACTGGTGGTCTTTTGTTTTTAGGCTAGGATAAGGAAAACATCTGGCATCTGGCCTTGGGGTTGTCCTGTCTACTGCTTATCTAGTTCTTGCTGTTGCTAGGGTTGAAAGGATATTCTAAGGCAGTATGAGCTGATTTAGCACGTTCCTGGGACAGGAGGACGTGTTCAGGCTAAGGTACAGAATGGAGTCTTTTTCTTGGTCCTACAATGATCACTGGGGCCAAATCAAACAGCAGAATCAGTACCTGCCATGTACTGAGGACTTCCTATGGGTCAGACTCATTGCCAAGTACAAAATGATCATCCTAGTTTAATCCTTACAACACCCTGGTAAGACGTTATCTTCACTTTGAAGAGAAAGAAATTGAGTATCAAAGAGGTTAACTGGTTTGTTCAAGGTAGAACATCTAACAATCGACAAGGCTGGATTCAACTAAAACATGTCTATGCTTTTAATCACTGCCTCACTCAGCTAGAACCAGAGATAAATATACCTTGACTTTATGATAGAAAAATGAATATTTCATGTTTTTAAAGTTTGTCATTTTATATAAAACAAAAACAACTTTTCAAGAGTCAGAAATAAGCATGTCACATAATGACAAATTCCATAAAGAAGTTCATTCAAGAATTCATGTTCTTCATCTATAGAAACCTCCTAAATTTATTTTTTTCTTTAAAAAAATATTTTACTTGTTTTCAGTGAAAGTTTACACAGTAGATTAGGTTCCCATTCAACAACTTCTACTGAAATTATTTTGTAACATTGGTTAGATTCTTTCCAATGCATGAACACACTCATTATTTCCATTCGGGTTGTTCCTTTTTTTTTTTACTAATTAGTTTCCCTGCTCCCTTACCGTCTCATCTTTGTTTTTGAAGTAATTGTTGATGGTTTGGTCTCATATAGATAATTTTTAAGGGAGCACAGTACTCACATGCGATATTCTTTATTTTGTGAGTCAATGTAATTTTTTAGCTAAAAGGTGACTTCAGAATAATTTTGTTTCAAGGTTTAAAAAGTAATCTAATGGCAACCACTTTAACCAGTCCACTAAGTCTGTATTTAAAAAAAAAAAAAAAGAGTTTCAGGTTCTGTTTTGCATTTTTCTCTCATTCTATCAGGATCCTTCTATTGTGGCCCTGGTCATAATGGTTGGTAATAGTAGCTGGATACCGTCTAGTTCTTTTGGCCTCAGACAAGATAAGAAGTAGTTCGTGTAGACTATTAGGCCTGCAGAATAATTGGCTACTCAGAGTTATTGACTTTCTGCTTTCTCTTTTGCTCTGGATAAGTTGTTATCGTTGTTAGGTGCCATCGAGTCGGTACTGACTCATAGCGACCTTATGCACAGCAGAATGAAACACTGCCTGATCCTGGGCCATCTCACTATTGTTGCCACACTTGGGTCCACTGATGCTGCCACTTGGCCAATCCATCTCATTGGGGGTCTTCCTCTTTTCTTCTGACCCTCCACTTTACCAAACATGATATCCTTCTCCAGCGACTGCTCCCTCCTGACAATATGTCCCAAGTATGAGATGAAGTTTGGCTATCCTGACGTCCAAGGAGCACTCTGGATGCATTTCTTTCAACACAGATCTGTTGGTACTTTTGGCAACCCATGGCACTTTCAGTATTCTCCTCCAACACCATAACTGAAATGCATCAATTCTTTTATGGTCTTCCTTATTTACTGTTCAGCTTTCACATGCATATGAGGTTATTGAAAATACCATGGCTTGGGTCAGGCGCACCTTAGTCTTCAAGGTGACATCTTTGCTCTTCAACACTTTAAAAAGGTGTTGTGCAGCAGATTTGCCTAATGCAATATTTCGTTTGATTTCTTGACTGCTGCTTTCATGGGTGTTGACAGTTGACCCAAAAAGAATGAAGTCCCTGACAACTTCATTCTTTTCTCCATTGACAAGAAAGTTGTTTATTGGTCCAGTGGTGAGGATTTTTGTTTTCTTTACATTGAGATGTAATCCATACCGAAGGCTGTGCTCTTTGATCTTCATCAATGAATGTTTTAAGTCCTCTTCACTTTCAGCAAGTAAGCTGTTGTTGTTGTTGTTAAGTGCCGTCGAGTCGATCCCGACCTATAGCAACCCTTTTGAGGGTTTATGAGAATTGGCTGGTGAGCTTAAACTGCTGACCTTGCAGTTCAAATGGCTTTGCAGTCTGGCGCATTAACCCACAGCGCCACACCAGGACTCCTTCAGCAAGTAAGTAGAGACCAATAAATTTTCTTGCCACTACTAGTTTTATCTGGAGTCCTGGTGTGGTACTGTGGGTTAATGTACCAGACTGCAAAGCCATTTGAACTGCAAGGTCAGTGGTTCAAGCTCACCAGTTGCACCTCGGAAACCCTGTACTGGCTCGCTATGGGTCAGAACTGACTCTACTGCACTTAACAACAACAACTAGTTTCATCTATTATGAGCTCTGGTGTGATGTTGTAGGGTAAACACTGGACTGGTAACCACAAGGTTGGCAGTTCAAAACCAACAGCCAGTCAAATCCTATATGGAGTCCCTATGAGTTGGAACCAACGGGACAGCACACTATATTAGTCCTGTAAAATAGTTTCTTCTATGAGTCATCAGCTTCTTTCTTCCTCTTTTGCTTTGGTTGTGATGTTGTTGTTAGGTGCCGTTGAATCGGTTCCGATCCTTAGTCTGGTCCTGTACCATTGTCATAATCCTTATTACCCTTGAGTCCACTGCTGCAGTCACTGTGCCAATCCATCTCATTGGGGACTTTTTTTGCTGATCCTCCACTTTACCAAGCATGATGTCCTTCTCCAGGGACTGACTCCTCCTGATAACATGCCCAAAGTATGAGAGACAAAGTCTTGCCATTCCGTCTTCTAAGGAGCATTCTGGCTGTACTTCTTTCAACACAGATTCGTTTGTTCGGAAGACCATGGTAATTTAAATATTCTTTTCTAACACTATAATTCAGTGAATCAATTATTCTATGGTCTTCCTTATTCACTGTCCAACCTTCATGTGCATATGAGGTTATTGAAAAGACCATGGCTTGGGTAAGGTGCACCTTAATCCTCAAAATGGCATCTTTGCTCTTGAACATTTTAAAGAGATCTTGTGCAGATCTGCCTAATGCAATATGTCGTTTGATTTCTTGACTTCAGCTTTCATGAGTGTTGATGGTTGACTCTAACAAAATGAAATCTTTGACAATTTCAGTCTTATCTTCATTTATATGGCATTTATATATATGTTTATTGGCCCAGTGGTGAGGATTTTTGTTGTTTTTTTACATTGAGGTGCAACACATACTGAAGGCTGTGGTCTCTGATTTTCACCAGAAAGTATTTTAAGTCCTCTTCACTATCAGCAATAAATGTTATATCATCTGCATATCGCAGGTTGTTCATGAGCCTTCCTCCAATCCTGATGCCACACTTTTCTTCATATAATCCAGCTTCTCAAATTATTTGTTTAGCAGACAGATTGAGTATGGTGGAAGAATACAAGCCTGGTGCGCACCTTCCCTCATTTCAAATCATTCGGCGTTCCCTTGTTCTGTTCAAACAATTGCCCCTTAGTGTATGTACAGGTCCCTCAAGAGCACAATTAAGTGTTCTGGAATAATCTTTCTCTGTAATTTAGTCCAGAGCTTATGAAACACACAACTGAAACTTTTGTGTAGTTAATAAAGCACAGGTAAACATCTTTCTGGTAATCTCAGCTTTCTTCCAACATCCATCTGACGTCAGCAATGATATCCCTCATTCCATGTCCTCTTCTGAATCTGGCTTGAACTTCAAGAAATTCTCTATCAGTGTACAGTCACGGTCACTTTTCTATTATCTTTAGCAAAATGTAGCAAAATTTTAGTTGATACTGTCCAATGATTTCCGCATTCCGTTGGGTCACCTCTCTTTGGAATAAGCACAGATGTAGAAGTACTCCAGTCAGCTGGGTAGTTGTCTTGCAAATTTCTTGGCTTAAAATTAGTGACTGACTCCAATGCTGCATCAATTTGTTCAAAGATTTCAATTCAATTAATTCCCAGTGCCTTTTTCTTTGTCAATGCCTTCAATGCACCTTGGACTTCTTCCTTTAGTATACTGGCTCTTGATCATTTGTTACCTCTTGAAATGGTTTAACATCAACCATTTCCTTTCATTACAGTGACTCTGTGTATTCCTTCCATTTTCTTTTGATGCTTTCTGCATTATTCAATAATTTACCCTATTGTTGTTGTTGTGAAGTGCCATTGAGTCGATTCCGACCCATAGTGACCCTGTATAGGGTTTCCGAGTAGCAGTGGTGAGCTTGAGCAGTCAATCTCGCAGTTCAAATGGCTCTGCAGTCTGGTGCATTAACCCACAGCACCACACCAACTTGCCCGTAGAATCCATCAATAACGAAAGTTGAGGCTTGAATTTTTTCTTCAATTCCCTCAGCTTGAAAAATGCTGAGCGTGTTCTTCCCTTTTGGTTTTCTAACTACAGGTCTTTGCACATTTTGCTATGATATCTGATTTTGTCTTCTCAACCTGACCTTTGAAATTTTCTGTTCAGCTTTTGTACCTCATTTCTTCCATTTGCTTTAGCATCTTTACGCTGCAGAGCAAATTTCAGAGTCTCTTCTGATATCCATTTTGTTTTTTTCCTTATTTCTTTTCTTAATGACATTTTTCTTTTTTTTCTGTATGATGTTATTGATGTTGTCCCACAACTCTTTTGGTCTTTGGTCATTAGTGTATAACACCCCAAATCTGTTCTTCAGATGATCTCTAAATTCTGTCTATTTAATATAAGTGGGATATATTCAAGGTCATATTTTGGCTCTTGTGAGCTTGTTTTAATTTTCTTCAGCTTCAGCCTAAGCTTGCATATGAGCAATTAATGATCAGTTCCACAGTCTGCCCTAACCTCGTTTTGCCTGATAACAAGGAGTTTTTCTACTGTCTTTCCATAGTTGTTCTTAATTTGATTTTTGTGTAGTCCACCTAATAAGGTCTTTAATGTTGTTTAAAAAAGGTATTTGGAATGAAGAAGCCATTGGTCTTGCAAAATTCTATCATGCAATCTTCAGCATAGTTTCTATTACCAAGGCCATATTTCCCAACTGATACTTCCTCTTTGTTTCTAATCTTTGCATTCAAATCACCAGTAATTAACAATACATCTTCATTACATGTTTGATCTATTTCATACTGAAGAAGTTGGTATCATTCTTCAATAACATCATCGCTGGTTTTAGTGGTTGGTATGTACAATGAATAATAATGGTATTAACTGGCCTTCCTTGTAGGCATATAGATATCATCCTATCACAGAGAGTGTTGTACTTCAAGACAGATTTGGTAAGTTCTTTCTGATGATGAATTCGACACCATTCCTTGGTCATTCCCAGGATAATAAAACATGATTGTCAGATTCAAAATGACCAATACCGGTCCATTTCACCTCACTAATGCAGTATCTATGTTTATGTATTCCATTTCATTTTTGACAATTTCCACAATTTTTTTTTAGATTCATACTTCTTACATTTCATGTTCGGATTATTAAATGGATTTTTACAGCTGTTACTCTTCATTTTGAGTTGTGCCCCATCAGCAAATGAAAGTCTCGAAAGCTTTACTTTACTTGCGTTGTTAACAGTCAACTCTACTTTGAGAAGGCAGCTCTTCTCTATTCGTATTTACAACCCAAAGGGCTCATCTTCTGGCACTATATTTAACGATATTTTGGTGTTCTTCATCATGTTTCAATATGGAATCTTCTGACAGTGTTCCACGGTATTTATAAGGTTTTAGTGGGAGAAAGATGAGGCTTTCTACTCCCGTAAAGATTTACACCCTCGGAAACCCTGTACAGGGTCGCTATGGGTCGGAAACGACTCGATGGCACATAACAACAACAACAACAGTAACTAAATACTGAGAAGTAGTCCATTTGTCCTTCCTAGTCTGTCTTCGTCTAGAAGCTCAACTGAAACCTGTCCACTATTGGATACCTTGCTGGTATTTAAAGTATTTGTGGTCTAGCTTCCAGAATCACAGCAATACACAAGCCACCACAGTACAAAAAACTGACAAATGAGTGGTGGTGGCCAAGTAGAGTCCAATAATTGTATCTTGCTACTGCTAGTTTCATCTGCTATAATCCTTTTATCTACTACTTTTATCAGAAAACAATGGAACTCAATGTGGAAACAGAATCTAATTGTGTCTATCTAAAAGTCTCCCTGCATATAATAATTGAGGAAAAGGAAAACAGTACAAATATTTTAAAATTTAATATATTTAAACTATATTTCCACTTTGAAACTGCTATACAAAAATTGCAACTACTTCACACAGGTGGTTCTTGTTTATGGGGTCATAAGTCATTCACTATGTATCACTTTACAACTTCAAATAGACTTTCTCTTAAGATACTTGAATATATGATCTGCAGAACAATCCTAAAATAATCAAGGTAAGAATAATTTTATCCTCTCCCTTTTTAAACTCTTCTCAGCTTTTTAATTTCTGCTTAATCTTCGATAGATGCTCAAACAAGAACATATTCGAGAAGAACAGTTACAGGCAAAGTAGTAAATTCATATAGCCATAAAGTTCTATTTACCTGCTTCTCATCACCAGTCCCACCTACCAAGCAAACAAATCAATAACAACTGGGTATTCAAAACCATACACAGGAAACAACCATAAGACAATTATTCAACCAGAGAGAAACCTCTGCCTTCTATGTATCAATATTTTTCAAAAAGAGTCTTACATTTTAAGTTTCAGTGGGGTATATGATTACAACTGATGAATGAACATAGTATTTCAAAGGTATAGAATGTTATAAGTGTTGAAAAGCACAAGACTGTGTTCTAGATCAATTCTATGGCTCATTAGTAAGAACATGGAGGAAAAGGTAATTTAATATTCTTTCTCCATAAAATGATGTCACAGTCTAAGAGACCTCAAATTTTTTTAAATGCTGAAATGAGACTTAAATTTTTTTTATGACACGATACAGAAATTCATGATTTAAGGCCTTTACAGAAACATATATAAAATGACCAACACCAGCAAATGTATGTAAAAGATTTATATAACACTAAGGAGCTCTGGTAGGGTCGTGGTAACGAATTGGGCTGCGAACCTCAAGGTCAGTTGTTCGAAACTACCAGCTGTTCCATGGGAGAAAGATGAGGCTTTCTACTGCTGTAAAGATTTGCAGCCTCGGAAACCCTGTGCAGGGTGGTCACTATGAGTCGGAACCAACTCCACAGTACTTAACAACAAGGTGTATTTTTGGAGTCCTGACGTGGCACTGTAGGATAAGCATTGGACTAGTAACCATAAGATCAGAAGTTCAAACCCAGCAACTGCTCCTTGGAAACCCAGTCCAAGGTCACTATGAGTTGGAAGCAACTCAAGGCACTCAAACAAGGTGCATTTTTAAGAACAGAGCAAAGAGGCAATTGTGTTGCAAATTTAGAAAAGAGAAAGTTAGAAGAGGTCATATTTCATAAAACAGCTAAAGAACATTCTACTTCATTACTACCACAACTTACCACAACAGATCGTGGCATTGCTGGCTTAAAAACTGAACAGAATTCCAATAATCTTTTCTCATAGTATTTGCAGAGCATCATTTCTTCATGAGTCTCAAGAAAGACTGGATCATTTGGAAGAACCTGCAGATTAAAAGTTATAATTAATACAAGTTAAGTAAATTAACGTTTTAAAATATTTTTCTCTGAGATTAATCTTAGATTATGTCTCCAATCCAAGGGTAAGTACACCATGCCTCATTTTCTCATTGCTAATTATTATACAAAGGCCCCTCTTGGCACAGTGGTTAAGCACTTAGTTGCTAGACAAAGTGTCAGCATTTCAAACTCACCAATATAACTGTCTGCTCCCATAAAGATGACCGTTTTGGAAATCTTATAGCATCACTATGATGTTCTATAGTTTGCTGAGTCAAAATTGATTTGATGGCGGTGGTGGTGGTTGTGTGCTGTGGAATTGATTCCAACTCACAGTGATCCTGTACAGGGTTTCTGAGGCTGTAAATCTTTACAGGAGCAGAAAGCCTCATCCTTCTCCAGCAGAACAGCTGGTAGTTTTGAACTGCTGACCTTGAGGTTAGCAGTCCGACACAAAATGTTGTTATTCTTGTTGTTGTTAAGTGCTGTTTCTCATTCATAGAGACTCTGTATGGGGTTTCCGAGGAGTGACTGGATAATTTTAACTGCCAGCCTTGTGGTTCAAACAGACCTTGCAGTCTAGAGCACTAAAAACCAGCAAATGTCTCAAGGATAATTCTGAGCCTTAAACTTTTACCTCTTATCCATCTTTGCAAACCTGTACAGAACAGAAGGTTAATAAAGGACAACAGTTCAAACCCACTAGATGCTCCATGGGAGAAAGAAGTGGCAGTTTGCTTTCTTAACATTTAGTCTTGGAAACCCTATGGAGCAGTTCAATTGCAATGGCTATAGACGACATACATAAAAATTCAGAGCATGTAGCACACATATATTTTTGTAAATATATTAATTCTTTGGGTAAAATATTGAACACTTCAAGAAGTACCAAAAGAAAATGGAAGGAATACACAGAGTCACTATAACAAAAATAATTGGTTAATATTCAAACACTTACAAGAGATAGCATATGATCTGTAACTGATGATATTGAAGGAAGAAGCCCAGGCTGTACTGAAGACACTGGTAAAAGACAAGGCTACAGGAATTGATGGACTACCAATTAAAATGCTTTAACAAGCAGATGCAGTGCTAGAGGTACTCACTCATCTATGCCAAGACAACCACCTTGCCAACCAACTGGAGAGATCCATATTTATACCCTTTCCAAAGAAAGGTGAGCCAACAGAATGCCGAAATGATAGAATGATATCATTAATATCACACTGCATGTAAAATTTTGCTGAACGTAATTGAAAAACAGTTGCAGTATCCTTTTGTCATACTTTCTCAATCTGTGCACTGAGGAAATAATTGTGGAGAAACTGGGCTATACGAAGAACACAGCATTGAGATTGGTGGAATTATTAACAATCTGTGATGTGCAAATAACAAACCCTGTTTGGTGAAAGCTAAGAGGACTTGAAGCACTTACTAATGAAGATCAAAGATTACAGACTTCAGTGTGGATTATATATCAATAGTAATAATAAAAACGCCTCCTAACTGAGCCAATAAGCAACATGATAATCGGAGAAAAAACTGAAGTTGTCAAGGAGTTGGCTTTACAATTAACACTTATGGAAGTAGCAGTCAAGAAATCAAAGGATATATTGCCTTCGGTAAATCTGCTACAAAATATCTCTTTAAAGTGTTAAAAAGCAAACATGTTACTTTGAAAACTAAGATGCACCTGACCCAAGTCATTTTCAATAACCTGATATACATGTGAAAGTTGTACAATAAGGAAAACAGAAGAACTGATTCCTTTGAATTGTGGTGTTGGGCAAATGATGATGAATTATGCCATAGATAACCAGAAGAACAAACATATCTGTCTTATAAGTACAGCTCGAATGCTCCTTAGAGTGAGGATGATGAGAGTTTATCTCATGTATTTTAGACATGTTTCTGGAGGGACATCATGCTTGGAAAAGTGGAGGGTCTATGAAAAAGAGTAAGACCCTTAATGAGATGAAGTGATAGTGGTTGCAAAAACAGGCTCAAACATGGCAATGATTATGAGGATAGTGTATGACCAGACAGTGTTTATTCTGTTGTATATGGAGTCCTGGTGTGGGACTGTAGGACAAAGCACTGGACCGCAAGGTCAGTTTGTACCTGAAACCCTTTATAGGGTTGCTATGAATTAGAACTTGACACTTAAACAATAACTTTCTGTAAGTTGGAACTTGATGGCACTTAACAACAATTTATTTTGTTGTTGTTAAGAGCCATTGAGTCAGTTCTGATCCATAGTGACCCTCTAACAGGGTTTCCAAGGAATGGCTGGTGAGCTTGAACCACCAACCTTGTGGTTCAAACTGAGCTTGCATATATATGTATTTATATATGTGTGTGTGTGTGTGTATATAT